AAAAAAAAAAAAAAAGAAAAGAAATTCCTCAATGTTAACAAAACTATTTTTTTTTTAACCAAATAGTTAAACATAAAATGTAGACATGGAAACAAATAGCTATCATGAATGGATATCAGGAGAGGATTCAGGTTTTGTGGGGTCAGAGCTTATATGAGGACCTTCTCATTACTAATACAAGCCTAGACATGAATATTTAGAAAGAGAAATCATCAAGATTTTCTTTTAGAAAGAAAAAAGAAAACCTGCAAATGTGATTTTAGAAGTAAGAAAGCCTGCAAATGTGAAAAATCAAGAAAAGTAATATAACATTATTAGTAATTAACTGCCTGATACATCCTCTCTAAATATATTTATGTACATATTTTGGCTGTATATATTTTGGTCACCAATTTATAAGATAATGATTTTGTAATATGTTCTACACAAAGAATTTTTAAAATTTTCATTCAGCTTCATTTAGAAAAGTTTGTTTCAGTGCAGAACTCTTGTTTCTAAGTTTTTGGGGATTATTATCTGAGAAACCTTAAGTTTCTTTCAGACAAGATTTTCTGGGGACTAACTGGGGACTATCAATTCTCTGAATTGATAATACTTATTAACCAGTGTATGTGGCATATTATGAGTGTTGTGTTGTCCTTGGCAATGACAGCGTTTTGTATCAAATGAGCAAATCTTTTCCCAATGTGTTCACATGATTCACTCTCCTTTTAATTGGTCTAACAAATAACCCAACAGCCTTTTCCTTATTTGATTTATTCATTTACTCACTTACATATTTATTTAGAGACAGCTCTCATTCTGTTGCCTAGGCTGGAATGCAGTGACACAGTCTCAGCTCACTGCAGCCTCTACATCCTGAGCTCAAGCAATCCTCCCACCTCAGCCTCATGAGTACCTGAGGCTACAGGCATGCATCACTACACTTGGCTAATTTTTTAACCAATTACTGTGTTTTAGTATAATTTAATTTTTTGTTATAATTCATTGCTTGATGGCAGGCAATTAACATGTTTAAAAATTATAAAATAGGGTTCCCTATAAAAATGTCCAAATCAGGGATCTGCTATTTCTCATGTTTTACTGAAACAATTCAAAATGTCTTTTCAAATTCCACTTAAAATAACATATTCTTAACTTCTCCTTTACCTCGTTGTA